GAAGCTGCCAGCCACAGTAGCCAGCTTGATCCGTCAGTGTCAGCCGCCTCCCTCGTTTTGCCGTTCTTGGATTCCCTGTCTTGCACTTTTTCTTCCCCTTATTTTTAAGAAACGGTTAAATAGCCCCCTTGTCATTCAGTTGTGCTCCTTTCCCTTGCCCTTTCAGTTCTACATTTATTATTTTTGTCTAGCATTGTTTTTATTTCCCTTCTAGTTCCTGAGGGGAGTGGCTCCTGTTACCTTCTGATGTCCTTTTACAGTCCAGCTCCCGTCCTCTGACGGGGATTCTTATGTGAGCGCGTTTCACCCTGCCTTCTCCGTCATCGTGGACCGAGCCTTGCTGGTCTGCTGAGGGTCAGCACCTGCACCGGGCTCTTCTTTCCACAACAGGAGTTTTGTGTGCTCTACATTGTCTAGGAAGTAACTGATAAATCTTTGGTAATCAGCTAAGTGCTGAAATAAAATAGCTTCTAGGTGTGCTTCAATAGTGATCTCTTAAGACAAATATAACACCAGTAGGCTACAGCTATAACACCCCAATTGTTGCCTTGAACTACTAAATTAAATGCATATAAAGACTCTTGTTCCACACCAATAAATTAGCGTCAGAAATGTAAATAATGTATATGCGTTTATAAATATGCATTCCTATCCATACAGTAGGGCATTATATGCCGTTTAATTTTTAAAATTCAGTTCTGTTTTTAATGCTCTATATAGTTACCCAGTGGTCAGCCGTAGCCCCAACGTAGGGAAGTACAGTGCAATAAAATATTGTGAGATAGAGATATGATATAAAAATGTACTTTTGTCATAATTGTTTTATTGTTATTGTTCGTCCCTTTCTGTGCCTAATTTATAAATTAAACTTTATCCTAGGTATGTATATATAGGAATAAACATGGTGTATGTAGGACGTGGTGCTATTCGTGGTTTTAGGCATCTGCAGAGGGTGGTGGAATGCACGCCCCTTGGTCCACATTTGGATAAAGCGGAAGCGCTGTGGTCTTGGATTATTACGGTGTGTTAGTAACCCGTGGTCACTGCAGAACGTTTAGGTGACATGAAAGAACCAAAGACAAAGCAGCCACAACACTACCAGCCTCGGGTAGCTTCTGTTAACTATTCTGACACATGTTTTTCCAGTATGTTTTTATTTTATTGCTAGTGGGTGTGTGCACTAATCAGCGAGCAAGAGAGCTTAGAAAGAGAGAGCACTCGCAGTGGGGCACGGTCAGGCCACGGCCCTTTCCCCCATTCCTCCACCCTGCCAGGGTTTCGCGCATGTCCATACATGTGCTTGGCATGTTTTACAAGCTATTGGGGCCAGGATTTGAACCGTATAGGCCGTGTGGATCCAGCTTTCTGTACATAGCACATAACTGCTGTACTATGGGGTAACCCACTTCCCACCTTTTTTGTGCATTTTTGCTTTTAAATGTTTTTACTTCATGTAAAACTTTATACTCTCTGTTTTAAAACTAATAGAAAATACTGTTCTTGTTTTCACATGATACTTAATGAATATAACTTACGTTTCCATGTTTTTTTCCTTGGCTTTATGGTATTTTATGACTTTCTCTGATATTATTTTAAATAGCATTGGGATATTATAAGCAATAATCTTGGGGAGAATTGGCCAGAAATTTTCATTAACATATATGATTATTTCCTTAGATCTTAAAGGGGAACTATTGGGTCAAAGATTATGAAATGGGAAGTTATCGATGCATATTACCAAATTGCTTTGCTAGAATCTACCAGCTAACACTTTGCCTATTAATGAGAGTGCTCAATTTAAGTGAGAGTGCTGTGGACTGAATGTTTGTGTCCCTTCAAAATCCTGTGTGGGCCGGGCGCGTGTGCGTGCGTGCCCAAGATCCCGAGAGGAGAATGGAGGAGAAGGGATTGCGGCGTGACCATCCCCCCTGGGGGGTGATTTCTCGCTTTCTGTCTCTATGTCTCTCTCTGTCTGTCTGGCGAGCGCATGCGCCCTACAGTGAAAATCTCTCAAAAAAAAAAAAGAAAAAAAAAAATCCTGTGTGGGAGCCTAAGCTCCAATGTGATGGGTTTTGGAAGCAGTGCCTTTGGAGATAGATAGATCATGAAAGTAGAGCTCTCGTGAATGGATTTGGTGCCTGTATAAGAGCCAGGAGAGAGAAGATCTCTCTCTGTCTCTCTCATAGGGCCTTCTGCTAATCAGGAAGAATGAGGAGAAGGAGGGCCCTCCCCGATCACTTTATGGTTTTTTAAAATTTCTTTCTTCCTGAGAGAAGAGGGAGAGGTGGGCAGAACGGTATCTCCTGGTACTTATTTATTTTTTAAATTTCCTGTAGAGCATGTGCACTCACCAGAGAGAGAGATAGTGAGAAATCACCTCCTTTCCTTGGGGAGGCCACATTGTAGTCCCTTCTCCAATCTCTTGGGATTTGGGGCTCATATGCACACACACCTGGTGTGTTTTCAAGCTGCTGCGTCCAGGACTTGAACCACACAATTGACCATGTGGGATCCAGCTGCCCCCACCTCCATGCTACCTGCTAGCCCCTCCGCTGGTACTTTCAGCTTCTGAACTGAGAAATGAAAGTTGTCTATGCTGCCTATTCTATGGTATTTTTGTTATATCTGGCCAAACTGATTAACACATTAGTATTATTTTTGTAACGTAAGTTTTTTGATTGCTGGATAACCTGAGCGATTCATCTGTAGAGTAGTCATTTAGTTTTCTCTTTGGTATATTTGTGCTATTTATGTAGTGATGACTTTAAATCTTTGTCATGTTTGTTACGTACTCTGTAGTGTTTATTTTGTTGTTGTCCTTGATATATTTTAAGTTTTTAGGAAGTTTAATTTTATAGTTTTTTAACTTTCTTCCTGAGAGAAAAGGGAGAGGCAGGCAGGCACCTCCGACAGGCTCTCAGGACGCTGTGACCCTCCCTCCCATCCTCCAGCCAGCCAGGGTCACTGCTGGCCTGCAGTCACAGCCCGGATGTTCAGGCTGACTCAGAGGCTAAGCCAGAGCACGGCATGGCTGCAGAATCACGCAGTGGCACCTCCCACTACCCCCGCTCCACCTCTGTGGCTGGGCCTAATTTAATGGCTTTAATTTATTGATATTTCATTGTAATTCTGCCATAGTTTTAAAATGTTTTCCATCCAGAAATCAGAAATATTTGCATGACTGCTTCTAGGCTTTTCATTTTAATGCTTCTTAATTTTCAGTCCATATGGAATTTACTTTGGTGTAGATATGCCAGC